AGTACCCACGTAGTCAAGGCCAATATGGTGGAGCATGGTCAGTCATTTGAAGCAAAGAAGCAGCAAATGAGAAGAGAGTCAAAACTAAGACCCAAGAGAGGCATATCCAAGAAATCAGTGCACAAAGTTCAAGAACCAGTATACAAGTTCCTCAGTAGCTGCTGCAATTGTGGCAACATAGGTTACCAAGCTGAGCCGATGTACTAGATTGGAGGATCTCTCTCCGGATGTCTCTAGCATACACCTTTCTATGGTGGTTTCGGAGGTGAAACTGATGGGTTCTAACCCAAGGAAATGGTGGGTGGACACTATATGATGAGACAAGAAAATGTTCACTTTCTTCGAGCTGGTTATAAACTACAAGAAGTTGTTCATGAAAAACTCAACAACCTTTGACATTGAGGGTCAAGGCAAGGTGATCTTGAAGATGACTTCAGGAAAATAACTGACTCTAAACAATGTCCTATATGTGCCAAACATTGCAGGAACCTTGTGTCTGGATCTCTCTTAAGAAAACATGTATTCCACATGATTTTTTAAGTAGACAAGGTCGTGTTGACCAACAATGAGGTTTGTGTGGGTAAGGGATATTTGTCTAATGAGCTATTTAAGCTTAGTGTTATGACCATTTTCCCAAGAGCAATAAAACTGCTTCTATTTCTGTTTACTTGCTTGAGTCATCTAACATGTGGCATGGTAGATTAGGACATATTAGTTATAATACATTGCTTAGATCAATTGACTTAGATCACATACCTACTGTTAAAATTGAACGAAGTCACAAGTGTGAAACATGTGTTAAAGCAACATTAACAAGGACTTCTTATCAAGCAATTGAAAGAAGCTCTGAGCCACTAGATCTAGTTTATAGTGATGTGTGTGATTTGAAATACATACAAACATGGGGAGGAAATAAGTATTTTATTACTTTTGTTGATGATAGCACAAAATATTGTTAATGTTTATTTGCTTAAGAGCAAAGATGATGCTATTAATAAGTTTAGTATTTATAAGAATGAAGTTGAAAATCAATTTAGCCAAAAGATTAAGGCATTGGAAAAGTGATCATGGTGGTGAGTATGAATTGCCATTTGTAGAGCTTTGTGCCCATAATGGAATCATTCACCAAACCATAGCGCCATACTCTCTTCAGTAAATTGGAGTTGCTAAATGAAAAAAATCATACCTTAAAGGAAATGATGAATGCGATGTTGGGAAGTTTTGGGTTGCCATAGAACTTGGGGGATGAAGCATTTCTCTCTATGAATTACATCCTAAACAATACCACGTAAGAAAGTGGATAAGATCCCTTATGAATTATAAAAAGGCCGAAAGTCTTTATATAAATTCTTTCAAATGTGGGGGTGTCTTGCAAAAGTGACAACACTTATACCCAGGTGGGTTAGGATAGGCCCAAAATTCGTTGTTCATTGATTATGCACAAAATAGTAGTGCATATCAATTTCTTGTGCACAAATTTGAAATATCAAATATACAGAAGAGTACGATTATGAAATCTAGAAATATGTCTTTCTTTGAAAATGTATTTTCGTACCGAACCCAAAAAGGGGAGTCAAATTTCGTTAAGCAAACAGATAACACGGTCAATAACAGTGATCTAGATGAGGAACCAGATAAGCCTAGAAGAAGTAAAAAAGCTAGGACATCCAAGTCTTTTGGTCCAGACTTCTCAACATACATGATGAAAAATGATCCTCAAAGCTTCCAAGAAGTTGTGATTTCTTTAGAGAAGCCTCTACGGAAAGAGGCTAGTAAGAGTGAGATTGACTCCATCTTGCAGAATCATAACTAGGAGTTAGTAGATCTACCTCCACGTAGTAAGCCTTTGGGCTACAAGTGGATCTACAAGAGGAAGATGAAAGCCAATGGGTCAATTGATAAATACAAAGCTAGGCTTGTTATCAAATGCTATAGGCAAAGAGAAGGCATGGACTACTTTGATATGTATTCACCTGTTACCAGGATAACATCCATTTGATTGGTGATTGCAATCGCATCTTTGCGAAATCTAGAGATATATCAAATGGATGTTAAGACAGCTTTCCTAAATAGAGATTTAGATGGAAAACTGCATGGAACAACCTGAAGGGTTCTCCTTTCTAGGAGAAGGAAGGAAAATTTGTAATCTTGTAAAATCATTATATGGTTTGAAGCAAGCACCAAAACAATGAAATGAGAAATTTGACAACACTACGTTGTTAAGTGGGTATAAAACAAATGAGTGCGACAAACATGTTTATGTTAAAGACACTGACAAAGGTTCTGTCATTTTGTGTTTGTACGTTGATGACATACTCATTGTTGGTAGTAATAAAGAAATTATCAAAATTACGAAGACGATGTGAAACTCTAAGTTTGATATGAAAGACACGAGTCTTGCAAATGTCATTCTAGGAATTAAAACTTCTAGAACATTTAATAGAATTATTTCATCTCGGTGTCATTATATGGATCAGATTCTTGAGAAATATAATAAATCAAATACAAATGTATCTAGGACTTCAGTGGACTCAAGTCTCTGTTTGGCCAAGAATAATGGTGAGAGTGTGTCTCAACTATAATATTCTCGGATCATAGAAAGTGTAATGTATTTGATGAGTTGTACAAGGCTGAATATATCCTACTTGATTAGAAGGCTTAGTAGATACATAAGTAATCCTAATGCCAACCACCGGAAGGCGATTATATAGGTACTAAGGTATTTACGATATACCCGAGATTATCGGTTGCATTACACTAGATATCCAGCGGTACTAGAAGGGTACATTGATGCAAACTGAATATCTAATGTAAAAGATTCAATGTCCACTAGTGAATATAATTTTACTCATAGAGGAGCAGTTGATTCCTGGATATCTTCCAAACAGACGTGTATTGCGATATCAGCGATGGAATAATATTTTATTACTTTAGATAAAGCAACTGAAGAAGCTGAATGGCTCTGCCATTTCATTAAGGATATTCTATGTTGGTCGAAACCTGTGCCAACAATTTGTATACATTTTGATAGTCACGTAGAGTAATATGTATAATGAAAAATCTAAAGATATTCGTTGAATACATATATCCATTCGACAACTACTCTCTAGTAGGATTGTCACGATAGACTATGTAAAGTCTAAAGACAATATTACGGATCCGCTAACCAAAGGATTAAACAAATGGTTGGTAGAGAAATCATCAAGGGGAATGGGGTTGACTCCTTTAGCAAGAATAGTTACTAGAATAGAAAGCTAACATTAATGACTAGAGATCCCAAGATATAGGTTCAAGGGACAACCTAATTGCGTATAACTTAGATGAATCACTAAGGAGGTAAATCCTCCTGCCCATTCCTATATTCAATAATGCTTGAGGAGTAAAAGGTTAAGCAAAGGCTTTTAATGACCCGTTTTCATTGAATAGTTAAGTAGGGTATAACAGGATACCCTAAGAGATCACCTATGTGAGTGTGAAGTAGGGTCGCTTCTAAAAGAATTGACGAGGCCTAATTTTTTAAATCACTCATTGAACCTGGCAAATGTTCAGGGCCAAAATGAACATAATAGTAAGAAATGAAACGTGTAAGGAGAAGTTCATGTATGAGGTATGTTGTCTTGGTTTACACCAAAAGAAGAATAGTTCAAGACTTCATGTTCACTAGTTAACCAATAAATCCGATAGACCTTCACAATGAGGAGGTTAGAAGCCAAAAGCTGCGTTTTTCCTATGCAGAAATCTGTTGCACTCTCTCTTCAAGTCTTTGTTGTCTCTCATTCTTTCTTTATTTGGCCAATTTTATTCGTGTGGTGGATTGTTCAAAAGTAATGGCTTTTCGACTACTTTAATGTGCAATTAAAGTAGGACCCAACCGCCGGTTGAGATGAGTCTAAGTGGGTTTGCATTCTCTTAATGAAGAAGATTATATTGCAAAAAGAATGAGCCAAAACCATTAAGAATGAATGAGAAATTGTCTCATAAAGTGGGCATCATGAAAGAGGTTTTGAAAAATGTGGAAAACCACATATCCCTTGTTTTCCAAAAGGGTGTGAGCCTTTTGGGCATCCAAAATTTTTGAAGGAAGGGAGCTATGAACCAACTTTTTTATGCAAAAATTGCCACACGTGCGCACCACGGCCTCAGCCCACCCACTCGTCCAGACCGAATCAGGTTGGGTCTAGGTTCGTGGTCTGAGGTCTAAGAGATCTTGAATCTTGGACTTGGAGTTGTGCTTGGGCTTGTGCTTGAGCTTAGGTTTGGCTGAGTTGTGATGTGCCTAGGCCTGGGCCTGGACCTGTACTTGTGCTTGTACTAGGTTTGGACTTGGATCGGGTTGGTGGCCCAACAACCTGTATCCGTTTTACAGACCTAGAACTTTTGAAATCTTCAACTGCTGCATTATATAAAATGATATAAGTTGGAAATCTTTGTAACTCCAACCAATTGATTGTTGGAGTTGATGATCTAGTTAATGATTGCCTTCATGACTGGAAGGCCACCTTATCTATATAAATAAAAGCTTTCCTCTACAGTCTCAAGACACAAAATTCTTTAAGAGCTCTTTCTTCAGTGTTCTTCATTTTCATCATTCCTTCCAGTAACAGAGAGTACTGCCACTTGTTCAATTCACCATAGCAGCTCCAGTAAGTGATACTATAACAACATCCAACCGTTGTATCGTGGGAGATAGATGCTGGCAAACCTCTAGCACTCTTTAGTAAGGCAGTGAATCTGTTTTAAGGACATGATGTCAAACACAGGCCTCGATTTGCCTATTTGTTTTATGTCCTTCAATTTTCAAATCCAATTTCATTTCTATCTTTGAATTTTATTTTCTTCCTTTTACTAATCTATTTCTTGTAATTTTGTATTTTCTAGATTTCCAGATTTATAATTTTCAGTTTTGTAATTTTCTTTCCCCATATGTGTAATTTTTTAAATTAACAAACCAAGACTGTTTAATTTAATTTATTTTAACCAACATTAACCAACTAATAATTGTTTGGCATTAAACTTATAGCTAGCTAAGATACAAGGTTAGATATTATTGCCTGAAGAGCTATAATTAGTACCTTAAACCAGAAGAGATCCCATGCCATGGACAAGACTTGGCCAACAAGAAATTTAGGAACATTTTCTGAGGTGGCTGCAACATGCAAAATGGTGTTCCCATCAGAATCAACATCGTACATCTTTTCCTTGTGATCAACATGCTTCTTCAAGTGCTCATAGATGAGTATGTGTTTGTATTCCACTGCCATGTGTATTATGTTCCTTCCATTCTTATCAAAGCTGTTTGATGCCTCTGGGAATTTTTTCAGGATTATCTTCACCAACTCCAAGATACCATGTTTTATGGCTTCTCCAAGTGGGTTAGGTTCTTTATTCACTTTCACTTCTGAAGCTAGTAAATCTTCCCAATAAAAGGGTTGATTCCATGTTTTCTGTTCTTCTAGAAGACCTTTTCCCAACTCTAATGCATACATGTGCTTTTGCTTCACATCATCAAGTGCTCTAAGCCAAGGAAACACTTCATGTAAAAAAATGACAAAGAAGAAGCATCAGGGGAATTAGAAGAAAGAAAGAAAAGTATAGTTAATAATAACAATATCAATAATCAATTGACATATATTATGTTATCTTTTAAGATAACAATACAAAAATGTAATGTTTTTATACTTGCTCCAAAAGCACAAAATAATTACTCACAAGCAACTCCTTATGCGTAGAAGTCTTATGTCAATGATATCATGCGTTGTTTTTAACTATACTAGAAAAGGAGGCAGATCTCCTCTGGTCCAAAATTTGGACTAGAGAGCATTGCTTGGGTCCTTGGCCAAATTCAATGATCTGAACCGTCCGTTTTGTCGATCACTTCGTGTATTTCATTCACACAAAAAAAAATTAGATTGATTCGATAACCGTAACCTATTCAAATTACCGCATTTGTCACCAAAAAAATGAACAACAATTGTGTCTTTAAAAATAATAATAAAAATAAAAAAAATACATTTTTTGGTGACAAACATTATAACTTGAATAAGTTACGATTATCGGATCGATCTAATTTTTTGTGTGAATAAAATACATGACGTGTCTGACAAAATAAACAGTTTGGATCATCAAAGATGGTCCCATGGTAGGCCCACGAGCCAAACAGAGCTCTCAAATCTAGATTTTGGACTGGAAGGGTTCCTCCCCTCTAAAAGAAAACCTGTACTATTCGTCGTGTTGAGTAAATACTTAAAATAAATTATAGGATTTATTAGTGATGAGTCTATTTCAATTGGATATAGTATTAGGTCTAAAGATTGATCATTTTTGGTGATAAGGACTATTAATAAAATTATTTGGTAAGGACAAATTATTGTTCTGAATGAATTATTTTTCTATTTTTACCCCATAGCAACCAAATCGCCGTCAACCAATCACCCAAAAAGTTGTCGACACTGAAAAAGTCACCGGAGGTGAGAAGCAGCTGCAATTGGTAGCGGTAGTGATATGGATAGATAGGCAAATTAGATGAATCGATAGGTGACACTTAAACAATTAAAGGATGACATGTAAGTGAATAAGTGACATAGATAAATAGATAAATAAATAGGTGTAGGAAATATGATCATTCAAATTATTTTGTTCTTTTAACCCCAAAACAAAAGAGCTTAGGGTTATATTACCCCAAAAGTTTTGAACTTAGAATTATGCTTGAGCCCCTAATAAATTGTGATAAAATTTAGAAGTTTTAATAAAAAAGTACAAAGCAATCTTATTATATTGGGTAAATTACATCGACAGTTCTTATATTTTGGCGCTTATGTTATTTTGGTCCCTGAATTTCAATTTGCTCAATTTTGACCTTGAAATTGTGATTTTGTCACAATTTAGTTCAATTGATTATAATTCATAGTGTTTTATGGAAAATATGCACATAAGTGATATGTGTTATGCTTTTCTAAGCAAAACTAAGAACTTGTTCAACTTAGTAAGTTAACTTTAACCAACTTAGAAGCCATTTTTCTTCAAAAACCTTAATCGACGTTATCAATTGGACTAAATTGACAAAAAAATCTAAAATTAAGAGCCAAAACCGAGCTAATTAAAATTACAAGGATAAAAAATAACACAAAAGGCAAAATACAGGGGCTACATATAGAATTTATCCTATTATGTATATACAAAATTATAAAAAGACCATTATCAAAAAGGGTGCTTGGGCGAAAAATCCAATTTTGAATTTTTCTCACCCAAAGGTCCTGGCTCTAATTTATTATTCCCATAAGGACAAACTATCATACAATGACCAAATACCCCCTCCACTTCCGCCTCTCGCTTTTATTGCCTCATATCTTTCTGAAACTAAACCCTAAAGAACCGCCACTTCCTCTCTCTCTCTCTCACTCACATCTCGCTTTCTCTCTCCCTCTCTCTCTAAAACCCTCATATCTCTCTCTCTCTCTATCTATCTATCATTTTCTCTCTCGTTATCCTCTCTCTCTCACTCATACAAAACATCATCATCCTTAAGAACGATCTATCATCATCATCATCATCATCACCATCATCATTTTCATCTTCATCTTCTTCTTGATTAAAACAGTCAATGGAGTCTTCGTCTTCACGAAGATCACTACTACACACACATACATCTTCAATCCAACATCAACTTTCCTCATCATCCACACTCACTCCCAGTCCCACCACCTCGCTCAGCCTCACCCACCGCTGCGGGAGCTTTAGCGGCCATCGTTTTGTCATGCTCTTCACGTGCCATCAGCACCGTTCGTCTCTTCGGCGTTAAGATCAAAACCATAAAAAAATGTTCGTTTCTCTTTTAAAAAACCCTAGTGGTGGAGAGGTGGTGGTGGTAGATTGACACCGCCGATCTAGCTCTCACAGACACCGTCACTGTTCTTGTTGTTTATCGGCATAGAGAGGTGAGTCAATCTAATAGTTGAGTCGATCCACTATTCTTGTTGATCAAACTTGTTTTTTTCTCTATATATACAGAGCAGTACGTATATATATAGGTGTGTATATAAGCTTTCTCTCTATATATATACAGAATAGTGTGTATCTATTTGGTGCTCTATTCATCTAAAAGAAATAGAGAAACAAGAAGACAAAATCATGTTTTTACTTGCTCTGTGGTCAGCGATGAGGACCTATAGTGACCCGGGTCAGAAAACCTGACCCATTTTATTTTGTGGTTCGGACACGTGGTTGTCTGAGTGTTTATAGCCTTATTTGGGTGAGTTTAGGTCCGTTATGTGCTTTAGGTTGGCTGTAGAGCAGCAGCCAAGTTTGCTGGGGTAAGATTGGTCATGTTCGCAATCATGGTAGTCGCGTTCGCGTTGTGAAGAAGGGGATGTTGCACTTACGAGGGGGTCACGACCAATTGTAGCCTTCAGGTTTGTTGGTTGAGGAGGAGGTACGTGGCCCGCGATGGATTGTGTGGCCCATGATAGTGGCTCGAGACCTTCATCATTGCGGTTGTGGAGTCTTGGTTGCACCCACAACCTAGTGGGTTATCTCGGTCGCACCCACGATTCTCTTGATCATGCCTAAGACTTGCTTAACTGTTTGAGCCATACTTGCAATGTTTGGTTTGTGCTCGCAATCTATCGTCTATATAAGACAGTGCTAAGGCTGAAAATAGCTATTGTTTTTCCTTTTCTTTTCTCTTTCTCTCTTCTGTGCGATTTTGGCCCTAAATTCTTGGGCTTAAATCTTGATTTTGAGGCCTTTAGGCTTGGGTTTGATCTCCAACCAAGTTGTGTACCGTTTGGTTTGCAACCCCTACTATGACCATTCGATGACTTTTACAATCGCCCTTTCGTGAGTAGGACGACCTCTTTCATACAAGGGAAGGATGTGATCGATACCAATCACCATTGTTGGAGAGCTTGGCAAGGGCTTTGGTTTAATCTCGGCCAAATCTTGTTTCGAGTGACAAATATCTTCTTATCTTCTTATCTTCTCTTCAAGAGGTAGGCTTCTATTTCATTAACTTAATGTGAGTTCTTTAGTGTATTTGTGGTATTTTTGGTACAAAGATTCGTGTTGTGGTTGTGTTGTATTGTTATTGTAATTGGATTGGAAAAATCATGAGTTATGGGCTAAGGGTTTAACTAAATTGGGGGTTGATTTTCATTATTCTATCTATTCAATTTATTTTTGCTATATAAAGTTGCATTCGGTGTTTCTAATTGTGAAAGCCCCAAATTTTGTGAAGAAAAGGCCATGAGTGTTATTGTTTTAGGAATTGAGTAACCGATGTGCATGTGCTGGAATTAAAAGGGAATTGAGTAATTAATGTGCATCTGTTGGAATTGATAAAACCATAATGAATATTATGTAGTGAGGATGCAATTGATGAAAGGTGAATGGGTTAGGAAAATTATGAGATTATATTGTGAATCAGTAGGGAGTAACCAGTAAAAATGAAATGGCTTGATGTTTGTTAATAACTCATGTAGTATTATGAGGTGTTTTAGATAGAATGAAAACCCGTTGCGGAACGGAAATGCAAAGCGCACCTTTTATGAGAACTAGATAGTGCTTTAATTCCTTGTATGTAATTAAGAAAACCACTCGATCTTAATTGAATGGTGAAATGAAATGGTGATGGTAGGATGTGGTGCTTAGCGATGGCCAAAGTTTGTGAAGTGTAATTCATATTGTACACTAATGTATATGGTGCTCCGCGATGATCACAGTATTAGGTGACACTTAGCGATGGTCACTGGCAGAGTGTTACTATTGGTAGTGCAATGGTTTGAGTGGTGCTCAGCTATGACCACGGTTAGATTGTGTAGATGCATGCATGTATAGGGATTCAATAAGTATTAGAGTTGATCAATGGAAACTAGTTAAATTGAACAAGAGAGGTTAATGAATAGTGAATGGAGTAGTTAAAAGAAAACCTATCTTACGAAAGAAAAACATTTTGAGTTTATTATATACGTATAGCATTATTATCATCTATACTTGTAGGTTTCTATTAGTTCCTGAAATGTTCCCTACTGGGCTATATGCTCACCCTACGTGGCTGAAATTTTTTCAGGTATTATTGTCATGCGAGATGTGGAGATGAAGCGCTGGACTATGTGTTAGTGTGGAGTAAGACTGCTCTATTTATTTGTAGGCCTTGGGCCATTTATTTGTTGGTCGAGTGCCTTTCATGTAAGGGTTATACCCTTGTAAATGATGTAAGCCTTTGGGTATTTCAATTGATGTATGAGATTACAGTTTGTTTTATATAAATCATGTTCATATCACTTAGATCTTAAAAGTAAGATGTATGTAATTGAACAACCCATGCAATGTTTGCCATTATTATATCTATTTGCATGAGAGACATAATGTTTATTTAACTTATTATTATCTTTTATTTGTTATTTGATTGTTTATTCACATAGATCAGATCTTGGAAATCTAGGGTGTGACAAGTTGGTAATAGAGCTAGCCAGGTTTGAAAATCTTAAGCTCGTGGGAAGTGGTAGTGTCGCCACAGTGGGTTTATCATGCTGG